AGCCCAAGAACTGGAGGTTGCTGTGAGCTGTGATGCCACAGCACTCTACCGAGGGCAATAAAATGAGACTTTGTCTCTAAAAAAAAAAAAGAAAAAATTCTGAACATTACGAGAGTAGTAAAAATAAGAATGGACCTCTGTGTCTTCACCGTCTAGCTATGATACTTGTCAACTCACGGCCAATTTTATTTCACTTATGTTCACTCACATTTCACCTCAGTCTCCACCACTGGATTATTTTGAAATAAATTTGGGATATCATATGAGTTCATCTGTGATTACAGAAATGCAGATTTTATAAATATTTCTAATTTTATAAAGATATGGACCAATTGAAGCCTAGGGAGCTATCATCTGTAGGGGCTGATATTATATCTGGTGGTTGCTTTAAAATATGTAGACTCCATTATCTGGATTATTCTGATATTTTCTTCCACCTGTGACACAAGGGCTCAGAAGTAGAGCCCTGGCTCTCAGGAGTTTTCAGAGGAGTGACTCATTGGATTTAGTGATCCATTGTCTAGAGTCCAGGCTCTGTATGTAGCTATGGCTTAGTGACTCTGAGAACGTGGAACTTCCACATTCCTAGTTCAAATTTCCCTCATAAAATTCAGATGTGCTTTGTGTAGGAGACATGCTTATCTGCCAACCAGGAACACTCCCAAAGTTTCTCGGCGACAAGTCTGAGGAGCTGGAACATTCACTGTGTCCTCTAGTTCGACCCCTTCTTCTCACTTTCTTTGCACATTTACCCTCTCCTGTTCGTACTTTCTGCTATTTTGACTAATTTTTTCCCTCCACCTAGGGAAATAATTATTATTATATTATGACAGCCGAGGTGTTAACTGGTTAAAATGTGGAAAAAGGCCGTTTTGTGATTACACGGCCAAAGATCAGCCTTTAGCAAAAATCTCATCATGTTTTTATTTCTTTGGAAATCAAAACCAATCCATTGTTTTCTTTAAAAAATTAACAGTATCCAGCTGTATCAACATACCTTTTGGCCTGTGAAGAGATTCATGTTGTATATTTATTTTTGTAGTCCACATCTCACTGAGTGGCCCATATTCTTTTAGGATCACGGTTATTAATTCATCTAGTACCAGGGTTAGCACCTACAGTCATTACCCTGGAAACTGTAAACATTTCCATATCTTAAATATACAAGTCTACTGAACAATGCATCTGACATCGTTGCTGTCTTAAGTTTTAAAAAATCAGATTTAGGTGAGGTAGTCACCAAAAGAAAACACTAGATTTTAGTCAGTAGATCTGGGTCCCGTTCTCTTCTCTCCCCTATGAGCTGTCTATCCTTGAGAAAATCTCTTAATTTCAGTGGAACTCAATCTGTTTCTCTTTTTAAAAGTTATCAGTTATAAATTTGGTTTAAATAAAGATTTGTTTTTAAAGACAGCAGTTCCTTATACCTCTACTACACATTTTCCTCTTACAGAGTCAGTTAATTTTACTTTTTAAAAATCATTTTATTTTATTTTTTACCTATTTTGTTGTCTACAAATAATAAACTGCTATTGCTGCTGCTTGTTTTTTTTTCTTTTTAG